ACTCGACGGCACATAACAACAAGAACAACAACATCTCACATACTTTGGGCATGTGGCCAGGAGGGACTGATTCTTGGAGAAGGACATCATACTCAGAAGAATGGAGGGACAGCATAGAAGAGGAAGATCCTGGATGAGATGGATTGACACTGTGACTGGGGCAATGGAGGTTGGTGTGTTGGAATTAGCAAGACTAGCTCAGAACAGGACAAGGTTCACTTTTACATAGGGTCACTATGTGTCACAGGCAACCCAATGGCACATATCAGCAATAACAACACAGGGGAGACAAGATAGTATGGGAAGAAGTTAGCAGACTAAGAAATTAGAGAATTATAATTCAGAACCATATACTGAAGCAGTCATGTAACAGAAGTCAAGAAATCAAAAGATGTGTTTATTTCATTGGGGAAATCTGCCATCAAGGACCCCTTCTAACTAATAAGGAGCAGCAATGCTCCTTTGAAGTCTAATGTGCACCCAATCCATACCACGGTTATTGTAATTGCTTCCTGTGCCTCTGAAATTTGGACCGCAAATGAGGACAGCAGAAGACTTGATGAGTTTGAATGACAGTGTTGGAGAAGAGTATGGAGTATCCCATGAGCTTCCAAGAGAACTAACAAACTTTGAGGCAATGCATGCAAGGTGCTCCTTGAAGGTAGGGTACTTTATCAGGAAGGGCCAGCTCTTGGAGAAAGGTTAGCGAAAGAGAAGATGACCTTCAAAGAGATAGATTGACCCAGTGACTGTAACATGGGCCCCAGCACATCAGAGATCGTGAGGAGGGGCAGGATAGGACAAGGTCTTTTGCTCACAGGGTGACTATGAGCCATGATCGATCACCGGAACCAACACCACCAACAACAACAACAACATACATGGAAACAGTAGGAGACTTCCATATGAACATATTTAAAATATTCAAAGAAATAAATGCAGGAAATGAACCCACCAAAGTTATTTTAGGGAGAGCTGTGGTAGCACAGTTCATAGAGAGTTCTCCTAACCCAAAGGTCACACCTCTCTAGATGTTTAAATCCATCAGATTCTCTGCAGAAGAAAAATAAGCAGTCTCCCCTCATGTGATTGAGAGGCTCTGAAAACCCATTGGAAGGTCAGCTATGAGTGGGATTCAGCTCGATGGCAATCTAGTGACGATGAGATTTATTTTAACATACAAGGTAAGACAGAAAGATTTGAAAAGTAGTCAAATGGAAATTTTAGAGAAACAATTTGTAAAAGTCTCAACATCTTGATTAGAGGGTAGATTTTTTTTTTCAGAGACCAATGTTTATTAGTGATTACCAGGCAGAGAGGGAGGGCATATTAATGAGAAAATCACAGTGATAGAGCTGCACAGCTGATTATTGTAAATGCTGTCAATTAGTTAAGCATCCATTAAAAGTTTGTCAAAATTTCCATGATAAATGTATAAGATTCACCACCCCTGCAACTCCCAAATAAATATAAGTAGAAGCTGAAGTTGCTTATGTACAGTCAAACACCTCATAATGTTGTTTTCAATGTTAGGTGCCTTTGGGTTGACTGTGACTCAGTGACCTATGAACAATGGATCTAAGCCTTGTCCTTTGCTGTGCCATCCTCATCACCTCTGATACACTTGAATCCATTGTTACAGTCGCCATGTCAATCCATCTTGTTAAGGGTTTCCTCTCTTTCACTGACCCTCTACCTTCTCTAGCATAATGTTCTTCTGTAAGGACTGGCCCCTCCTGACAAAGCTCAAAGCTTCACCTATAAGGAGCATCTTAGTTGCACTTTCTCCAATGCATATTTGTTTTGGAAGTCCATGGAATATTCAGTACTCGTTGTGAATGTCACAGCTCAAAGGCATCAATTCTTCTGTCATCCTTATTTCACTGCCAGCTTTCAGATGCATAGCAAGTAATTGAAGCGACTGTGGCTTGGATCTGGTACACCTTAGTCTTTAAATTGACATTGTTTGCTCTTCATAACCTTAGAAAGGTCACTGACAGCAAATTCTTCCAATGCAACACATCTTTTGATTTCTTGACTGTTGGTACCAAGAGTGTTAATTGTGTATCCAAGTAAGAAAAAAATAATTAAAACTTCAATGTTTTCTCTACCTGTCATGATGTTTCCTGTAGGTCCAGTGGTGCAGATTTTTGTTTTCTTGAATAAATTCTACTGAGTAGTTACATCTGAAGACATAGTGAAAGGGGTGGATGGCCCTTGGCAGTTTTAACCTGCTCAGAGGAATCTGTGAAGAAATACTTGATCTGCTTCCAAAGGTCAAAGCCTTAAAAAGGTATGGAGAGCAGTCCCCTGCACACATGAGGTTAGCATGAGTTCATACAAAGAGCCTGTAATTTCTTCCCTTGAAAAATGGCTCTGAAGCTAGAAGTGTTCTCAAAACAAGTCATATATGTAACCTGATAGTTGCCACAATGGACTCAATCATACTCAGTCATGATTATAAGAATGGTACAGGACTGGAAAACTATTAACAACACAATAAATGCTTTTTTTTTTAAAAAAAAAAGGAACACTAGTAGTACAGTGATTAAACATTGGGCTGCTAATCCAAAGGTCAGAGGTTAGGATTTAACAATTGCTCTGTGATCTATTTAACCTAGGAGACACTATGAAGCAGTTCTGCTCTGTCCTATAGTGTTACTATGAGTTAGATTTGACTTGAGCACATTACTAAATAATATTCATTGACCAACTCACACTAAATCTCCACTGTGTTTCCAAGCCTGTACATCTTTATGGGAGGTGAGCTGTCAAAACTGTTGAAAACTGGCTTTTCTAGCCATTGTGTTAGCCCCTGTTGGGGAGAATGATCTCCAGCTACCTTCACTGTGGACACATGGTCTTGCAAATCATCAACAGTTGTAGGACCAATATAACAGAGTGCTTTCCACACAGAAAAAAACTGGTAATGATGGTGGTGGAGAGATTACGAGGAGATTGTGGAAAGGCTTTGGAGAGACTATGGCAAGGTATAACCAGAGGAACCTTGGAGACAAATGCCACAGTTAAAGGTTTTGATTGCTGGATGACTGAAGTAAAAGCTGAATTATAACTGCTCTGAGTCACAGTTTGCCGGATGATTGAGAAAACCAGAGGCTTCCTGCATTTGTGCTATTGAGTTGATTCTGGACTTGCACGACTTGAGGAATTATGCCTTATTAATCTGGCTTGGGACTGCTGGACTTAAACTGAATTTGCCTTGTGAGATATTCTTTGCCTCCATCACTCTCCAACCTATTTCCCTGATAAACCTCACAACTGTTAGTAATGTCTGTGAGTCTTGCAGTGAACACTGACCCCAAAGATTGATAGAAATAGGTGTAGGAGTATGTGGCTTGCCATGCTTGAAAATGTGGCTATTTGTATTGTACTGTGAATATTATTGATGGAGACAATTCCCCTTTGTGAAGTAATAGGAACCAGACTCGGCTACCCCCTGTTGCAGCTTCTCTTTTGCAGATGGAGACTGCTCTTCTTACTCTCTCTCTGAGCAGCTGATGGATACAAACCTTCAACCTTTCAGTTAGGGCAACACACTACACCCTCTGAATATTTGCTAACTCTGCATGGAGACTTCCTGGTTGTTCTTTCTTTAACATTTTTAGTTTTTTAATGAAAAACTATTGTTGCAATTTATTATGCTTATTGTTTCTGTGTGCTGTTGAGTTGGAACCAACCCGTGGCTGACACTCTAGTGGGTTTGCAGAGGCAGTAAATCACACAGGAGGAGACTGTCCATCCTTCTTCCACAGAGCTGCTGGTGGACTAGCACTATATTAAAAACACATACAGATAAAAGATGCTAAAACCACATGCTAAATAACCGAAAAGTTGATTTGCATGTTTTCATTATTTACATTTTATTCCATCTATATGGATAACACAATTTATCAAAACTAATTCATAGGGTTGCACAATTTTGTGAGTGGAGGGAAGGGGGTAAAAGAAAAGGGAAAAAATCCAGTGTGAAAAAATACAATGTGTATGATCTTTGTAAGTAAACTAGTATAAAATAAAAATTGTATTTTAAATAAAAAAAGTAATCCAAGATCTAGTTTTCAAATTGGGCATGTTGTCAGGATGGACCAGTCCTTGGGAAAAGAAGTCATTCTGGGGAAAAAAAATAGTAGGTTGGCAAAAGAGATGAAGACTATCAACAAGATAAAATGACAGAATATCTACAGCAATGTCCCTCAACGTGACGCCGGCACAGGAAAGGGCAAGGTTCAGAGCTGTTATCCTAAGGGTTGCTATAAAGGATGGTCAACTCAGTAACACCTAGCCACCTAGGGTACATTTTCCCCTTTAAAAAAATTTTTTTATTGTATTATTTTGTGTATGTGTATCTTCAAATTGGATCTGACAGGTAGAGGAGGAGATTGTCTCTCCTTCTCCAGCAGAGCATCTGGATATTTCCCCCTTAATAACATAAAATTCTCTCTTCTTACCTTAGGAGATCCTCAGTTTGTTAAATTCACAGGCAATGCCTTCAGTTCCTATTGGGCAGGAGCACACACATCTTCCATCCATCAGTATCACAGTACCTCCATTTTGGCATGGGTGGCATTTTTTGACATTGAATTCATTGATATATTCTTCAATGGATCGCTCCAAGTTTTGTTTCTTTTGATATGAATCTTTCATATCCACTGGAACCAGATTATAGATAGGAGACAGCTGCAAGGAAGTAAAATATTCATTATTGATCTTTATCTGTTGTGAGTGATTTAACTCTTTCATTGTCATCAAGTCAGACTGACAAGATACAATCTAAACAAAAAGAGAATATCTGTTATCAGAAGTATCCTTAAAGGGTGAAACTGTCAAGTGGGAAAAGATATTTTCAGCACTTTCAAAAATGAATAGGCTTCATTCTATGAAGCAAACATATCTTTGATACCAAAGCCAGAAAAAGACATCACCAAAATAGGAAACTATAGGCCAATATCTCTTATGAACATAGATGCAAAAAATCTTAAATAAAATATTGGCCAATAGAATCCAAT